TAGCCTTCATACCAATGTATAATGTCAAATACATAGGTTATTTTATACTTTTTATTGTTTTAACTTTTATATATTTCAAGAGTTAACTTTTAACTTTTAAATTTTAACTTTTAACTTTCAACCTTTTTTGTTAATTAACTTAACTTTTAATTAGTTAATTACACGATGGCTTAACTTTTAACTTAACTTAGTTACTTTTTGTTTAAATTAACTTTAACTTAACTTAGTTAAAAAAAAATGTTAACTTACCCAACCCTGCCTTTTACGCAAGTAGCGCATCATAATTGTAATGACTATTCTCCATTCTGTAAAGGTTTTCTCTTCGGATCAAGAAAAAGACCTTGTCCAATACGTTTTGAAGTGCGTCAACCATTATTATGGCCTAAGCATTAATGAGCTTCGAGAATTGGCTTATCAATTCGCGAAAAAACTCGCCGTTGACTACCCAAAAGTGTGGGATGAAGATCAGATGGCAGGCCGTCATTGGTATACGAATTTCATGCGCCGACACTCCGAACTCGTTTTACGCTCCGGAACAGACCTCCATCCACCATGTGAAAGCCTTTTGTAAGACAAATGTTGACATGTTCTTCCGGAATTTTGGTCAGTTGATCGATGAGCATCACTTCGAAGTAACTCATATTTACAATATGGATGAAACAGGGTTTTCAACAGTTGCGACGAAACTAGGCAAGGTGATTGCTTTGAAGGGAACGCGACATGTCGGAAAGCTTGAGGCCGCTGAAAGAGGAACGATGATCACAATGGCGTTAACCGTTAATGCTGCTGGCAACAGCATTCCACCGTTTTTCCTCTTTCCCAGAAAGAAAATGCAGACCACCTTCTTAGACAATGTCTCATTCGGGACTGTTGGTTTTGCTAATGATTCTGGCTGGATGTGCGCGCCAGACTTTCATCGATATATGCAAATTTCGTCAATTGTGTTAAGCCTACGCTTCTCCTGTCTTGCTGCTTCTCGACAACCATTCGTCACATTTATCCATTGCAGCTATCGATATTGCCGTTTCCAATGGAGTACACATTCTATCCTTCCCACCGCACTGCAGTCACAAATTGCAGCCCTTGGACGTGTCTGTCTTCGGACCGGTGAAGACTTATTATAAGTCGCAGTGTGCCGCTTGGCAAAAAAATAATGCTAACAAGGTAGGATTTCTCATGCGTTAAAAGATTTTTCATGTTTTTGAAAACCTTGTCTTCATCAATGTATTTTATTTTGTTGTAGGTGTTAGAAATTCGTCACGTTGCTGGCTTGGTCTGTAAAACTCTTGATCTTGCGCTGACGCCTAAAATCATCAAATCCGGCTTCAGAGCTACTGGAATCTTTCCGTTTAATCCAGACATCTTCAGCGTTTCTGACTTTGTTCAAGCTGTCCGGCAAAATGAAATAGAAACTGCGTGCGAAACTCGTGTTGATGAAGTGGAGCAGCGCCGAATCGTCGTGCTTGGGTCAACTATTGAACGTGAGGAGGTTGAGACTGGGCACGAAATGGGACGTAAGGAGGTTGTGTTTACCACATCTGAACCTTCGACATCACGAATATCTTTCGAACCATTGACATCGAGAGCGTCTTCATTGAGCTCCCTATCACTTTTGGAAGAAATTGGTCCTCTACAAGCGGCTACACCAAAGAAGCCTTCGAATCGGGGTCGAAAACCGATGCAAAGCGCCGTTATCACTTCTCCTGAATGCATTGCTTCTCTCAACGAAAAAGCAACTAAGACAGCTGCTAAACAACTGACTAAGCAAGCGGTTAAGCGAGGCCGGAAAGCCACTAAGCGCACCAAGGCAACACTATCTAAACCATCGGCTAAGCGCATTAAGGCAAAGGAGTCTTCACCATCTGACGATGATGTGGACTTCTGTATCATCTGTCTGGACCTCTTACCACGAAACTTGACGGCCGAAAACTCCATTAAATGCAATGAATGTAGTCGTTCAGTGCATTTGAAGTGCGCTGAAATGCGTGCCAGCTACTTCACGTGCAAGCATTGTGCTTCTGATGAAAAGAGCGATGAGTGAAATAAAAATGGATCATTTTTTTTGTATTTTTTGCTGGTGAAGGCTTTTTAAAGAAATAAATTTTGATTTGCTCTCTATTTATTGTGGTTTTCTGTCATATTTTACCATTTTTTGCGGATTTTTCAAGGGTGTCCACAACCAGGTACAAATTTCTTTTGGACCAAAAATTGTCACTTCGCTAAATATTTCATAATATTTTTCTAGTTGAAGCAATCAGTTTAGATCTTTCACTGACAGTTAGCTAAGGACTCTAGCTTTCTATTGGTTACATACTTTTTGCATAATATGCAATTGATCGAGAGAATCATAAGTTATGAGTAAAAAATGAAACGGTGCCCACAACCGGCGCACTTCCCTTAATTAATATACAAATATTTTTATTACTTTAAACTTTACATTTATATATTATACATAAATGTAAAGTAATAAATATTAATTACATTTTTCAAATGTTAAAAGTGTTAGCATTTAGAAATTTATCTGGATTTGACGTACACCACATTTTAAATGCGTATTTGAGATATTACAGTATTTAATAATAAACATATAATTGTAAAGTATTTTTATTAACGTAAAATTTATGTTTTATTTATTTCTGAAACTGAAAGAAATAAAAAGTGAAAAGTATAGATAGATACAACACATGATAGTATTTTTTTAAATTATTTTAATGCTTAAATATTATTATAAATTTTAATAAAGATTAAATCTAATACATTTTGTAACAAATGTTTTCACATATATACGTATATACATATATATTTTTTCTATACCATATAAGTCCTTTTTACAAAACATAATAATCTAATTATTAAAATCTTTTATATTCAACACATAATAAACTATTTATTTCGCATTTTAAAAACAAATCTACTGGCAGTTTGTTTTGTATACACATTAGTTTAATCAGAAAAAAAGAAAAAATACCTGATTATAATAATCAGAAAAGAACAAAAACGAAATAAACCAAAAGACTGTGATGTTAATTATGATCGATGAGATCGACCAACAGTATGATGATCAATAACGGAAAAGAATGAGTTTCTCTGCAATCTGGATTTTAATAATGTATGAAAGAATGTAAATGATATCCGTAATTTTGAGAAAAGACAGACATCTCCGACTGTATTGCAAAAAGCAGATAATGTTATTTACAAGCGATTGAAAAAGGATAGCCGTGATATACTGGCGGAAACATTGGACCATCTAAATTCGCAAGTGAAATAAGAACATTGTGTCTTTCCATAAGGGATATGGAATTTTTTTTCAAAAATTGGAAGCAACGCCATCAAGAAGCGATGCATTTTAAGATTTTTTAACTATTACTATCCTTATTCTTGAGGATTCTGATCTTCAACATTGTCTTTTTGTTTGTTTCTGAAACAATCAATTAATTTCATGTTTAATACGTCATACAGTTATTATATATATATATATATATATATATATATATATATACACATATATAATATAATAAACATAATTGAGATTTCTATAGACAAAACTATACAATCACAATATACGTTAAATATTTCAATATTTGTTCAAATATGTGTACTTTGAATATAAAAACAAAGTATAATGAATAACATAAAAGATTATTAGGATTAAATTACGTTATTAAGCAATTGATATTATTCAATTATTATAATAAATATTCATATTTTAAAATAAAAATAATATAATAAATGTTTACTCACGCAAATCTTCGAACACGTGCAGGAGCTTGAACAATCCAATTCATCATAAGTTTTGTAATTGTTTCCTCGGTTGAATTTTGGTCATGTAACCGAATAGCAGCTGTGGATATATATCAATTTATAATACTATATATGTATATTACCATCATACATAATATTGATTGGTTGTGTGTTTTAATATAACTATTTTTGCTGATTAGTATTAATCGATGTTTGTTTAACCTTATGCTGATTACAATGCCGAGAGAGAGAAGATTCAACAGACACAGTTAATTTCGAAATACAACCATAACTACACGTAAACTAACTACGAAAACTTTGAAGTCTTTTACCTATGATTAAACTGACAATTTTAAAATGTCGGAATGCATTTTTTTCTCGACCTCCTTTCCAGCTGTATAGTATTAATATTTCGTCCTTTATTAATGTTTTGAAAATATTTTTTATCATTTCTTGTAGGTTTGTCCCACCTTTCAGTTTCAAAAAGCCTTTCTAAAATAATTTGCCATAAAATGTGTGACTAATTAAAATATTATAAAAACAGGAAGTATGTAAATATTCTGGTATTATATATATTGAGATATATATATCAAACACAACTATATATAACTTTAGACAACTTTAGAATTCACAATTATGTATAGAAATAAACATTTACCATTTTCCCGAACAATTCTTCACTTTTCAAATTTTCTTCAAACAGTTTTAGTTCATCCATCGAAGAAATTGTTTCAAAAGCAAAAGCTTCTTCGACGGTATTTATATTAATTTCTTTATTTGTAATGTTGTCTACTTTATTTTCTAATATTTTGAGTCTTCTATCAATGTATGTTATTTCAATTAAGATGCGATTTACTTTTTTCAAAATTTCCTTCAACACTAAAAATTAACAATTAATAAAATCTTTTTTTAAGACCATGTATGTAAGAGACACAATCAATAAGAATCAGCCTTTAACGGTCAAGCAGGATCTTAGTTGCTTCTGTATTTTCATGTGAATTTATATACTATGTATGCAGTCTATAAATCGCGCGCCGAAATTCATTTTCAGTCTGACCCGCGATGTCATCCTCCACGTACAAGAGGTTTACATGCTTGCTCCTCTTTTGGTCAGCGAGTCGTATCTGTTAAGGATTTGTGACCTCAACTGAGTAAACTGGTTCAATGATGTGTTGAAACTCAATTTATTGCGAAATATGCTCGTGTACAAAAAGTTGTCCGTTCGGTGCAACAAACTTTGTCCTACTACTCATTCTCCTCTCGTCGATCGAGGCGACATTCTCCCTGGCTCTACGCCCTCTACAATCTAGTTCTTTCCAGTACGCTCGACGGTTAGCGCCCTTGACGTCTCAATTCCAACTATCTATGAATTTCTAGCAATTCAAATCAAATGCTTACATATTATAAAGTCTGAAAAATAAAAACAAATTAGCAAGAGTATTAATTCCTTGACATCCCGGCCCACCTTGAAAGGCCAATTTTCAAAATTAAATTTTTGTGATCCTGGAAGAAATTTTGGGTTTGTTGCTACAAAGTAAATGTAAGAATAATATAAGATAATTAATAATATCAGATACTTAAAATCGATTACTGATTAAATAGCATTTTCCAACTTAGAATCCCGTTGGCCTTGGGTCTCCTCATTAATTTCATTGTTCAATGGGAGAGCGCACAGTTTTCTTATAGGTCGTTTATATATTCCATGTGCTGTTTTGACAGTGGCTACTCTGGCCACGTTATCGTTTCCCTTATGCAGTTCCGTTACACGGCCCAAAGTCCATTTGCTAGGAGGGTTTTGTTCATCCATCAACAAAACTATTGTACCTACTGCTAAAGCGGTTGAATCATGGTACCATTTGGTACGCATTTGCAATTGATGCAAATACTCTTTTTGCCAACGTGACCAAAAATGTTGACGAACTCGTTGCTGATGTTGCCAACGTGATAAAGTATTAACAGGCATGTTTAAAAAATTTCTCTGAGCAGGCTCGGCTTGTGACTCTCCGAGCAAAAAGTGAGCTGGCGTCAACACAGCCAAATCGTCAGGATGAGAGGATAAGGGAATTAAAGGACGTGAATTCAAAACTGCTTCTATTTCTGTAAGTAGTGTGCTGAACTCTTCATAAGTCATTACGAGGTTTCGCGTGACAGTATATAAGTGTCTTTTTGTTACCTTAACGGCAGCCTCCCATAATCCTCCGAAATTTGGAGATCTGGGGGGTATAAACTTCCAGTGAATGCTCTTCAAAGCTAATCGTGCTTCAATTTCATCTGTTTGATCTTTTATAAATTGATAGACCTCTTTTAACTCTCTTGCTGCTCCAACAAAGTTCGTTGCATTATCTGAGTATAATGTAGTGCAGAGACCTCTTCTCGAAGTAAATCTCCGTAATGCTGCCAAAAATGCTTCTGTAGTTAGATCCGTGACGGCTTCTAAATGAACTGCCTTTGTATGAAAACAGACAAACAATGCAATGTATCCTTTCATTAGAGGTATCCTACCTCTTCTTCTTCCCTCTCGAATTTGGATAGGCCCAGCGTAATCTACGCCACTAACAGCGAATGGCCTTACAGTTCCCTGTAATCGATCTTTAGGTAGATCAGACATAACGGCCTCTAAGGGTTTAGGTTTGAGTCGAAAACATTCTAGACACTGTCTAGTGACCTTACGCGCTTCGTGTCTACCTGATAATGGCCAATATCGTAGTCTAATAGATGCCAAAAGTTGTTCTGGCCCACAGTGTAATAACCTTTTGTGTTCTTCGCGGAGCATAAGAGTTGTTATATGATTTTTCGACGGTAATATATATGGATGCTTTTGATCTATGTTGATCTCCGCATGACGTATTCTACCTCCCACACGGATCAATCCTTGTTCATCAAGGAAAGGACGTAATGTAAGCAACTTGCTCTTGCGATGAACTTCTCTTCCATTTTGTAAATCTTCTATCTCTCTTTCGTATACTTGACGTTGCACTAGTCTGATTATGATAATGTTAGCTTGCTCCAATTCTTCAATCGATAAAGATCCTTTCCTTTTAATACCTCTTAGATTATTTGTAAATCGCATACAATACGCTATGACTCTTTTTAGCTTAATGATAGATGAAAATTTATACAAAATATCGTGCATATCCGGGATAGCTGCTAATGTAATCTCCCGTTTAGTTTCCCGTTTAGCTTCCGGCATGTCTTCTAAACTAAAAACTTCTTGTATCGGCCTTTCAGAAGGCTGCACTAACCACCTAGGTCCATGCCACCATAGATAATTATCCTTTAAATCTTCAGTAGTCGTGCCTCTAGATAACAAATCCGCGGGATTGTCACTTGAGGGTACATGATCCCAATCTTTACTCGAAGTGTGTCTCTGAATCTCAGCGACTCGGTTAGCCACATATGTTTTCAATTTGTGAGGAGATGTTTTAATCCAACTTAACGTAATTGTAGAGTCAGTCCAAAAACTTACATTGTTAATTTTGTTAGACAATACATGATTTACACTGCTAAACAGCTTGGCTGCCAAATGTGCAGCATTTAACTCTAAACGTGGCAATGTGAGTGGTTTTAATGGAGCTATCCGTGATTTGGAGCACATCAAATGTGCAGTAGCGCGCCCATCTTGATTTAGACTACACGCATAAATACATGCTCCATAAGCTCTCTCCGACGCATCACAGAAAACGTGCAGATCCACCAATAGTGACGGATTGCCTGGATTACAATTGCGTGATACTAACAAAGCTTGAGTCGAATTTATAGATCTGCAATATTTTGACCAACTATCTTGTAAATGGGGTGGCAATTCTTCATCCCAACTTAGCTTCTCCTTCCACAATTGTTGCATCAGTTGCTTCGCTACTACTAACACTGGCTCGATAAGCCCCAGAGGGTCAAATATTTTTGAGCTTGAAGACAGCACTTGTCTTTTTGTAGCTGATAGTTCTTCCTTTATTTGCACTTCATACTGTAAATAATCCGTTTCTGAATTCCAATACAGTCCAAGAGTTTTCAAGACTTCATGTTTGTTTAAAACCAAAAATTCATCTTGCTCGCTATCTTGAGCCAACGAGCTAAATACCTTCGTGTTGTTGCTTCTCCATTTGCGCAGATTGAATTTTCCTCGCTGGAGCAATTCCATTAATTCTTGTTGCAATCGACATGCCTCCTCTACAGTGTGCGTCCCCGTGAGCAGGTCATCCATATAAAAATCACATTGTAACACCTTTGCAGCTGTAGGATGAGTGTCAGCCTCTTGAATTGCTAACTCCTTCAAACATCTGACCGCTAGAAAGGGTGCTGAAGAAGTACCATATGTTAACGTATTCAAACGAAATATCTGAATTTCTTCGTTGCTATTTGACCTCCATAAAATTCTTTGAAGATCTCTATCCTGTTTTCTCACAAGGATTTGTCGATACATCATTTCTAAATCAGCAGTTAATACATATTGATGCATTCTAAACTTTAGTAATAAGTCACATAATGTATCTTGCAACTGAGGCCCGACTAATAGTTTATTGTTCAGCGACACTCCTGATTCTGATAGAGCTGATGCGTCGAACACTACTCTCAACTTGCTAGTTAATGCACCGCTTTTTATTATAGGATGATGTGGTATGTAGTAAATATCTTGCGGACTCTTCGATGCATTTTCTTCAACACGTGACATATGCCCCAATAGTTCATATTTTTCCATAAATTGAACATATTCCAACTTCAATTCTGGTTGTCGTGCAAATCTGTTTTCCAAAGTATAGCCTCTTCAGCGCTGTATTATACGAATCTGCAAGCTTTATATCTTCTCGCTGAGGCAGTCCTACTACGAACCTACCTTCTAAATTCCTTTGCATTGTTGCTTTAAAGTGCTCCTCACACTTTTGCTCCTCTGGTGAGTAATGCCTTTGTTCGATAATTTCTTCGGATTGCCAGAATTTCTCCAGCTGCCGGCTTAGTTCATCATTCGTTAGTAGATTGCACATCATGTTATGGTCGCTTGACGACTCCAAAACATTTCCTCCTAATATCCAACCTAAAGAAGTGTTCTGTATCCGTGGTTGTCCAGGAAGTAACTTTAAATGCTCGTCCTTAATAATTTGCCAAAACATTCCGGCTCCGTTTAATAAATCAATGGCTCCCGGATTGTGGAAGTTTTCGTCCGCTAGCTTCAAATGATTTGGTATCTGTAATGTAGAAATATCAATAGGCATCTGAGGTATTTGCTCTGTGATTCTAGGCAACACTAAACAATTTAGCTTAAATCTTGTTTTGTTATATTTGGCTTGTACTTCAATAATTACCGATTGCCTTACATATGTTTTAGTTTGATTGATACCGCTAACTGGAACGTTTACAGATTTACTTGTTAAATGTAATTTATCTGCTAAAGCCTTCGTAATTAAATTGGATTGCGATCCAGGATCTAGAAGCGCTCTACAAAGATGTCGCCTTCTATTGGTATCAAAAATATATACTTGCGCTGTAGACAACAATACATGCTGCGAATTTTTTGCACAATACGTGGATACTATGTTGCTTGGATTGTCTTTATTCACTTCATCGGGACTTTTGTTTTCTTTCTGATTTTCTATATGGAGAAGAGAATTATGCTTGCCTTGGCAAACCTTACAGCCTGACGATTTACATTCTTTACTCCAATGCCCTTTCCGCAGACAGTTCAAACAAAGTTTCAATTGCTTTATTTCGTTAATGCGTGATGGTACTTGTAACTTCAATAGCTTTTCACAGTTAAATATGCGGTGATGACCTTTACAATAATCACATTCATTGTTACTTGTAGAAGCTAATGACAACGATTTATCTTGCTTTTTCTCATTGTGTTTACGTGCCTCAGCTCCCGATTTTTCCTTTTCTATCATTTCAAGCATATGGTATCTTCCTGTTAGGAATTCAAGCAGCTCATCAATTTTTGGCAGCTCGTCCTGCCCTTTGGTAGTAATATGCGTTTCCCACTCTTTGTGCGTGTGATAATCCAACTTATTTGCCGCTACAAATACTAAGACTGCATCCCATTTGTCTACGGGCAGTTTCAACGTAGCTAATGCTTTAATGTGTGATCTTACGTGATTTACAAATTGCCTTATGCTTTGCTTGTTACATTTAACTATTGGCATAGTTTCAAAAAGTTCCTTCAAATGTTTATTAATGATAAGTCTTCGATTCTCGTAATGATTGTTCAACAACTCCCACGCTGTACGATAATTCTCAGCCGTGGTTTCCAATCCTTCGATGAATTGTAATGCTTCATCCTTCAGCGTGCCTCGAAGATATTGTAACTTCTGAACTGCTGATAGCGTTGTGTCTCTGTCTATTAATGAAAGAAACGAGTCTTTGAACTGCATCCACTGACTATATTGCCCATTGAACGTTGGCAATGTGATCGTTGGTAATTTTACACTGGATTTCACTGTCAGGGTCCTTCCTGCTGCTGCCACTGTCGCAGATTCATTTACAGGATTTACTTGTGCTAATCTTCTTTTAGCGATTGACACTAGCTTAAAATAATTGTCTTCGAATTCTGTGTCTTCATCGTTTTCTTCTCGTTCTATTCGCTCTAATTGATCCTGATCTTTTTCTTCTGAAAGCCCCTGTTTACGTACCTCCTTTATGGCATATTGAAGGTTATGAAACTTATCCCAGACTTCTTTTAGCCTTTCAAGTCTGTCAGAAATTTCATAATCATCGGCTTCTCTACACTCAAGAAAATTACTGAATCGCGTTAATTGACTCTTAAACTGACCTCGCTTAATCCTTAATCTTTTGTATTCAGCCATTTTGTGTAGCAACTGCCAACGTTTGCTATTACAATGTAAGGAAAAGAAAAAGAATTGAGGTTAGGATAAAGGAAGCTCACTTACGTGCCTTTGAATGCCTGTTTATTTGCTGCCGCCTGCGCGACTACCAATATGTTTCAAAAATGTTCTTGATTTCGTCTAAAATGGCTTCTAGAACGATCCTTTCGTGTAGCAACGGTCACCGCTTGCTCTTACAATTGCCTTTTTGCCTCTATTATTCCTGTGATCTAACACAACATCCGGCTCGAAGGACCATTTTGTTAAGGATTTGTGACCTCAACTGAGTAAACTGGTTCAATGATGTGTTGAAACTCAATTTATTGCGAAATATGCTCGTGTACAAAAAGTTGTCCGTTCGGTGCTATAAACTTTTTCCTACCGAACTCATTTTTTTCTCGTCGATCGAGGCGACATTCTCCCTGGCTCTACGCCCTCTACAATCTAGTTCTTTCCAGTACGCTCGACGGTTAGCGCCCTTGACGTCTCAATTCCAACTATCTATGAATTTCTAGCAATTCAAATCAAATGCTTACATATTATAAAGTCTGAAAAATAAAAACAAATTAGCAAGAGTATTAACTCCTTGACAATGAGTTACATTTTAAAATATTGTAATATAAAAGATAAGTCATTATTAATATATTTAACCTTTCTGAGATTGATCTTCATTATTTTTATTTAAATGTGTTGTTAACATCTTGTTATATTCATCGATAGAATAATTATTATCTTCATTGATAAAATCTTGCCGATTTTTATCTTTCAACTCTTTTTTATGTTTAGCAATCACATTCATTTCTTGCTGAATTATTTTCGGCTTTTCCATCTCAGTTACTATTTCGATATTGTCTTCTTCGGAAATAATTGGATGTTCATAAGTTGCCAAAATCCGTGCAGGCTTTTTCGAATGAAACAACTTTTGTGATCCAGAAAATTCCTTCGGATCTGGTAAAGGAGACAGTAGGCCGGAATCTATTTCTGTACCTGACGATTCATCGTCAGATGAATAATTTTGTGCAGCAGCTCTGTCATGCCGCGTTTGTTTCATATTTTCTTCATCTTCAGTATTTACGTCGGATATATTTTCAGCCATTCTTAATTTTTCTTGGCCTCGTTCAAAGGTATCTGAATGTAGTTATCAATAATTATAAATATGAAACATAGACAAACAAGGCTAGTTTGAATAAGTCGACAAGTTAGAAGAAAATCAAAGTTTTCAATAAATGGAATTCATTTTCCTGCCTTTTTGGCAATATTAGTACGATGAATCAAGTGAAAGTAACTTTTAATTTAATTTATTACATTTCGATATAAACTGTTTAAATTATTTTGATTTGGATTACTCTTTGGATTAGATTGACAAAAAGAATGAATGAATTCGTTTGTACACAAAAAAGGAGGAAGGGTTTCAAAATAAATAATTGTATATATACCTGCTGAAGCAAAAATGCGTAAAACGTCATACATTGCCCAACCAGCTTGTACATTTTTTAAATCCGGCATTTCCTTACTCTGTATAGCCTTATTCAACCTTTTTTTCACATTGTAATTCGGGTAGAAGCAAACCTGTTGCTTTCGGTCCTCAGATATTCGCAACCAGTTATTAGGGACTAGAGCTATCCCGTCGTCAAATTGAATTATGTAGAAGTTTTCTGTAAACTACGAAAATATGTATATGATAAAAATTAATTTATTGATAATAAATATAACAGTTATGTGCATTTATATATTTACTTTTAAGGAAGATTCTTTCCTCATTTTTTGGAAATAAGATAATTGCTCGTGCTTCAGTTCAGACATATTTATGCAAATTAGACCTACATATAAGTAAAACAGATTACAATAAAAATATTACAGTGTTCTAGAAAATAACTGCAACATACATAAAGTATATTTTCTATGTTGAATATGTACCACGAAAAGTAACTAATAGATCATTCAAGGTGCAAATTCAAAATGAACATACATACATATAAGTAAAACAGATTACAATTTGCATATTACAGTTTTCTAAAAAATTTCCGCAATATGTTATCAGCCAAAAGTTGCATTTTCTTCCTCACCGC